GCTCTTTAATGCCACCCACTTGTGCTCCAGCAGCAGTGGCTGGTGAAGACTCGCCCCATAGGATCGTTTCTGGTGCGTTTCACTGCTTCCCAAAGTAGTGAGTTCCCACCAGGGGCTCCTTGATGACTTCTAGCCCTGACTGCAGTGCAGGACTTTTAGCTGTGAATTCTTGTACTTTTCTCAAAGCCTTCATCCTGAAGTGCCTTTTTACTCAATACTGATTTCTGTGGAGACTGCTGATTTTCAGCACATCAAGGAAGCTGTTGACGAACTTCTGGTCCGCAGTTTCTGATGAGACGCCAGCGAGTGTTCACATGTTGCTCACCTGAGTGATCTGCTGTATTCCCCTGGGCTGTTTTTAAGACTTCTTAATCCCCAGTCTTCAGCTATGATTCCTGGGTACAGTTTTTTTTTTTTTCCATTAAGCTTCCTGAAGACCTTTTTTTTAAAAACAAAATTTGGCACATTCTCGTTCCTTAAGTTTTTCAACGATATTTTCTGCTCGCTTTGCCTACGCCCCTCGACTGACATGTATTTTCGACCTTTGATACTATCCAGCTCATGGAAAACTTTCTCTCCTAAGAACAATCATTTCCATCGATCCATCTTTAAGTTGAGGGGCCTTCCTTCTGCCATTACGATCTGTGAAGCCTATTTGTGAATTATTTATTGCAGACAGTGTTCCTTTCAGTTCTGGACTTCCCATCTGATTCTTTTAATCATTCCCACTTCTATACTGGTATTTCCTATCTAATAACGAGCATACTTTGAGTACAGGTCCATCAATTGCTTTAAAGCCTTGTCTGCTAATTCTAACCCTTGGGTCTGCTCAGAGTCAATGCTGTCTTTCCACAGAGTAGGGTCATATTCTACTGTTCCTTCATATGACTAGTGACACTGGAATGTATGTGGACATTGTGTAGAATGTGCTAGAGAGACTCTTGTAACACCCTGAAAACATTTGTTTTTGCTTGTGTTCTACCAAGCAATGAACTATGACCGAACTCAGGAGTGGAGTAGTGTTCATCGAGAATTTGGGGCCCTTCTCTGTGGTTTTCTCCCGCGTTCTCAGTTGCAGCAGTAGCCCCAAGTTGTCCATCGTCCTGATGGTAGTGGGTTTGTGTTTGTTTTCCATTTCCTCCAGGCTGCTGCTGCTTCTATTTTCCCAGGGTTGTTTACTAGTGTTTGTGGAAGGGTTAGTCTGATGAGAGAAACTCTGCCATTCTTGGAAACAGACCCGCATGCTCTTCCAAAGACATTTTCATTCATTAGAAAACAAGCGTTATTCCCCCCCACTATCATGATCCCGATTCTACCTTACACATCTGGCTAGCTTAAAGCATGCACACTGGTCTAGATAAGAGCTGGAAACACAGGGTATCCAGGACAGATAAACCCCTCAGGACCAGTAATGAGAACAGGGACACGAGGAGGGGAAGGGAAAGGTGGGGGGACAACAGAAAAGTGGGTGAAGGGAGACATCGGTGGTCAGTGTAAGACATGAAAAAAATAAATAATAATTATAAATTATCAAGAGTTCATGAGGGATGAGCTAATCAGGGTACAGGGTAGCAACGATGAAACATATAACTTTCCTCTAGTTCTTAAATGCTTCCTCCCCACCAATATCATGATCCCAATTCTGCCTTGCAAATCTGGCTAGACCAGAGGATGTACATTGGCACAGATA